GGTTTATTATGGCTTTCATTTTTCCTAATGACTCAAGATGATGAACATCTTTTCATGTGCTTATTTATTGGCTATTCGTTTATCTTCTTTGCAAACTGATCAAATCTTTTGGTCATTTGTTGTGGTTATTTGTAATTTACTACTGATTGCAGGGGTTATCGTTACTTTTTTAGGAATACTGCCTCAGTTTCCTCTGAAATCATTCAAGTTCCTTTTGAGTTTTTGTGCCCCACTCATGGCATCAACCATTCCCTAGGGAATTTTGTCCCCTTGTGGAACTCATGGTGATTCCTGCATAACCTCTCCTCGAACCCCAGACAGGTAAAGTTGATATGCTCTCCACCCTGGATCTCCACAGGTGTGCCCGATAGGAGCAGTAATGTACTCTGGAAGTAACAAGGTGTCTTCTGAGGCTAGGACATAAACGATACTGTCATTTGTATGTTGTTCTCTCTTGGATAATTCCCCTGGAAGAGGCCTACCATGACCACTGTGCTATGAAAACACCCATGAGACTCTCTGGAGAGGCCCAATGTGGGGAAGAACAAGGGCCTCACACAACAACCAGCACCAACTTGCCAGTGGTGTGAGGGCACCAGCCTGCGAATGGATCTTCCAGCTTCAGTCAGGCCTTCAGGTGAGCAGAGCCCTGGGTAACATCTGACTGCACTCAGACTACACCGGTAAGTGCAGTTGCCAGTAAGACCCTGCCTCACAGACATGGTGAGAGAGAAAGTGTTCGTTGTGCTTCTTGACTGGTAAGTTGTACTCTTTGACTATGTCATTTCATTTTCTCCTGGCCTGAAGAGTTCTTCTGAGAAGCTTGGTAGCCTAATAGCAGAGACTTTGTGACTTCCCTATTTCCCCCACAACCACCTTTCTTTGTCTTTATCTTAGTTACATGGTAGTTTCGCTGCATGCGCTATGGTGTAGGTTTCTTTATGTTCTGTTATCTTTATAGTCTTGTATATTCATTTCCTTCCCCTGGTTTGGGAAGGTTTCAGTTAGTTCATGAATACAACCTCTGTTCTCTTCTCATTCTCTCCACCCATAATTCTCATGTTGCCTTTCCTAATGTAGCAGAGTGGTTGCATCACTTTTTTTTTTTTTTTTTAGATTTATTTATTCGTACAGAACTGGGGGATAGGCCAGAGGTGCGGAGGGTGAGAGGATTCACCAGAGACAGAGCGGGGAGCAGAACAGGCAGATCAATGAAGTACACTGCTGAGGGGAGCAGCGGGCAGGTCAGGAGAGGTCTGCTGTGCCATGTGGGTCACCTCGGGGGCAGGCGGGGGATCAAACTCATGCAGAAGTGGTTTAAGCTTCTTTGTGCAGTGCTTTAACCCACTGCGCCACCAGGGAGGGCCCTGCATCACTTTTTTATATCTTAATTCTCTGCTTCCAGCTGGATCTTTTCTAGGTGTCTTTTTTTTTTTAAATAATAATAGTTTATTTTTACATCATTTTTGTGCCTTTTTCCATCTCACTTGTAATCCCTGTGGGCTTCCCATCACCAAATCACCTGTGTGCCATCACCATAGTCCAGTGTACTTCCCCCGCACCTCTATTTTTGATCCCATTCCCCACTCCACCCCTGTAAAATATCTCTGGTATATAGTTGTTCATTATTATTATTATTATTCTCCTTGGTCCTTTATGCTCCTGCTATGAGTGAAACCATCTGGTATTTTTCTTTCTCTTTCTGGCTTATTTCACTAAGTATTATCCCTTCCAGCTCCATCCATGTTGCTGCAAAAGGCATGAGTTTATCTTTTTGATTGCTGAGTCATATTCCATTGTGTATATGTACCACATCTTTTTAATCCCGTCATCTACTTTTGGGCGTTTGGGTTGATTACATGTCTTTCCTACTGTGAATAAAGCGGCAATAAACATGGGGGTGCAGGTGTCTTTTTGAATCAGGTGTCTATGTTTTTTAATTTTTTGTGAGTTGTGGTAATATTTGTATACTCCTAGGTTCCTATCTTTGAGCTCACTGTTTCATTTCTCCATTAGGTCTATTATTTCCACATAGCTTTCTGTACCACTTGCTCTAGTTTATTAATTCTTAATATGTTATTTTCTTGTTTAAACCTTCAATTTCTACCTCCACTTCTCAGTTTTATTAGTGATCTTATTGAGCTGCTTTTCTAGCTTTTTGTACATTTTTGAATTTCTTTTCTGAGTTGTCTTATGAGTTCCCTGATGATAGTGATTTTGAATTCTTTATCTGTTAGAAAGTTATGGTCTGCTGTTCTTTGAATTTGCTTTCTGCAGAGTTGTTATCCTGTCCTCGTGATGTCATATTGCCTTCTCTAGTTCCCTTGTGTATTTTTTATTTTTTTATTTTTTTTACTGGCCATTTGAAAGCTGGCTCAGCAACTTAGAACTGAGCTGCTATATTTTACGTTTCCAGCAGGTGGTGCTATGGCTTTGTTTATTGGCTACTACTGGGTGCCTAAGGTACTCAGGCAACTGTGTGGGTAGGTGAGTTAGAGCTCTGCTGTTTCAGTGGGGAGTTGTATAGAGGGCACCATCCACAGCTGTGCATGCGCTGGGAGAGGCCTGGCTCTTTTGAGGTCCAGCATTGTTGTCCTTGCTGCCTGAGGTTCCAGATCTAAGATTCAGCAGTCTGCTTGCTTTCAGAACTGTTTATGGTTTCAGCACAGATTCCACTGTGTGGGAAAGGAGAAGTATTTTCTAGCACTTTCTCTTTTGCCCTTTTTGGGATCCTAGGCCGTGTGGCGTACCCTAGTTCTTCCACCTTTGGCTTCATCTGGGCAAACCTAGAAATGATCCAGGTGGAAGAAGAGAATCACCTGCCATCATAACTGCCTCTGCTCCCACCTTCTCAGGGTTGGGGTAATTTGATGTAGGAGTAGATGAATCACTTAGTCATCAGCATTCTGGAAATTAAGCTTCCCTTCCATTTGCTTTCAATGACATTAACTGCTTTTCTTCCCATTCATCCCCTCCCCACTCCCAGCCCACTCTATTAGCCCGGAGTGGCAGGCTTATAGAAGTGAAATCTATGGTTCTCTGGGAATGAACTGGACTCTTCCACCTTTTCATTCACCCCTGGATATCCTCTGATAATGACTCCTATGAGTCCAGCTTCTTACAGACAACTCTATCGGAGAGAAAACAAAAACTACCTGAAGGTGTTGGAGAATGACCAAAGCAAGCAGACACTAAAGGAGGATCATCACTTGGAAAAAGGTAAATAAACTAAGTGAGTCATGAGGATTTGTTTTTCCTGTACATTTCTGTCAGGTTGCAGTTGGGGGAAGGGATGAGTACAGTTTGAAATCTAATTTCATCGGTGTAACAAACTAGAGAAGGTGGCATAACCACAGCAATTAAAAACTCGGGAAGGAAATCCCAAATGAGAGATGGCCGGAGCATGGAGAGCCCTGGATTCTGTATATAAGGTTCTCACTGACTACTAAATTATGCAGGTGCCGTCAGGGGTGGGGCCCTACCGCGAGCAGCCCAGCAAATGTTTAATAAACTGACCTGGTACTCCAGCTGCCATCTGTTTTCCGTTCCAGTTCAGCAAATTTAACTGCCTATCCTTTCACTAGACACACACAAGTTCTGCTCCACAAAACAGTGTGAGTAGGTAGGACTGAGTTTTTTAATGCAGCTCAAAAAGTACATAGAAAAGTCCTGTAGAATTTGCAATATGAAAACAGTCCTTCAAGAGTCAATTAGCCTGCCCCCATATGGACCTAACACGGGTTGCCGCAGGATACAGAAGTGGAATACTGATTATTTTAACCGGAAGGTAATTGAGATACAGAAGATCTAAGAATGACATGTGGTGTAATTATCTCCCTATCTCCCCAAAAACAGGAAATCCAGTTCTGTTCAGGCTAGGGGTTAATGGGCCCAGGACGGCTTGTCACAGACAGTTATAATGTGGGATGATGTCATCTGTCACAAGTAAACATCTTTTGAAAGTTTCATGGCTTCTAAACTAGTCAGCAGTTAACAGTCTTTTCCCGGTCATGCCATTGACCTTTGTCCGTCAGTGCGGTATCTAGGGTATTCTGTGGGAAAAAAAACAAAAACAAAAACAAAAAAAAACAAAAAACAAAATTCATAGAACGGCATTCATCACCTAATGTTCAAAAAAAGTATCAAGAGGTTGGATTCCAGTTTTAAGCTTCTGTGTTGGAACTTGGGTTCTTCGTTATTTGTTTAGTTACTTTGCTTATTCAGGAATAGATTATGAGCCAAACCAGCCCTTAAAGGGCAGGCAAATCCTCAAAGGGTGACTGGAATAGTCTAATTCCTGCTTAAAAGCCTATTTGATTTTTTTAGGCCATTCCAAGGGCTTTACCCGCAAGGTCTCATCGCCACCCAGATTTGGTCACTGTGTGCTGTCTAGTCTCTACCACCTCTCCCAGTCGAGGACACGGGGATCCCAACACTAACCCTGCTTCTTCACGTGCAACAGGTCTGAGTAACATTTAGTTTACCCTTGTTTCATTGTAGCTGAGGGGAAATCTCCCAGCCTCTGTTCAATGAAAGCAAGAGTGAAGGACCTATTTTCTTGAAAGGAAATGGCATATAAAACTGTGGCCTGAGAACCTCATGTCATGAAGTGAGGACTTACGGTACTTGTGTTCCAAGCCCCAGGTGCTGCCTTCACTCCAGATTCACTTTCTGAGGCCTCATGATAGGAGGGAAGAATATCGAAACTACTCTGAATCAGTATGTGGTAACCTCTTCATTCCTAGCCCCTCCCTCACACCAGGGTCATAAAATTGCTGAAACCTGAGGGCTCCCTCAACAGGATGACGGCCTGGGGGCCTCTTGTGCAAGGTAAGTGAGAACAAACTTCACTTTCATTTTCAGCCTATAGCGGAGGACACTCCCCAAGCCAGCACTCCTTGGTGCCCAAGAAGCGTTCCAGTGACCACATGAGCCAACTACAGCCGAAACTAGAAACAGTGAGTTTGAAAAAGTTCATAAATTTGCTCCAAAATATTTTATTATTAAGTTTATAAAAGGTTTCATATAAAAAACTAGAGAAGAAAGGTGTGACATAGAACACCACCTGTTAAGGATGCTGATGGTTGTGGTTTCTAATTTCTCTACAAAATTAACCAGCCCTGATGGAAGGGAGTTAAAAAGTATTTCAGAGTACAAAAAGCATGTGCTAATTTAAGTGCAAAGCAAGCTCATAATAAAATAGACTTTAAAAATTACAAATAAAAATCTGTACATCAAGGATCTGTTTAAGGCCTTTCCATGGACATAGCTTTGTAGCAAGATCAGCGTCGAGAAGCGGCGCCTTCACGTCAGGTCGTACAAGTGTGGCCCACTTCTGCTTGCAGGACCATCTCTTCTTTTCTCAAGGGGAAAGTGTCGATCAGGTTGAAGAGAGTCAGAGGCGTCACCAGGGAGACATAGCGTTCCTTGTCCGTGCCATGCTTATCCACCAGCACCATGCTGAAGGAGTACAGTGGGATTCGCAGCAGCAGCCTGGGGAAGACAGTCAAGAAGACGAGGTTAAATTCAACTGCCCAGCGTGAGGTGCATACAAAGGCTAAGTACCGTGAAGGTCTGTATCATCCTCTACTCGCCTGTTACTTGGCTTGTGGTCCCCGGAACAATAGTCTCACATGGGGAATAGAGATGGAGACCTCCCCACTCCCCCCCCGAATCAGAGGGTACAGTATGGGCAGGCCCTTACTGGTTGTACACATGTGGCAGCTTTAGACGATGTCAGTGCTGCTATTCGCGTGCTCTGTGTGCCACGAGGCCAGGCTAAAGCTAGGTTTCTTGGAGTCAACCCAGCCTGCAGACTACAAACCATTGTACAACCCCCTTAGGACTAGGGTGACAGAAGCCATCCAGACAGGTGTTTTAGCTACCACAGTGGGAGAATGGTGCCTCTACGAATGAGTGGGTTCAGGATGCAGATGTGGCCAAACAGCCTCAAAATGCACACCTCCACCCCACCTAAGAATTATCTGGCCCCAAATGATAGTAATGGTACTGTGAGAACATGAACTAACAGTGCGGTTCTGGTCCGTCAGGTGGCCAGCTCAGGACTATGAAGAGGAGTAAAGATGTTCTCTACCCTGGGTATGTTGACTTAAGTTTTATATATAAACAGTATAAATTACTTGAAAAATATTTGTGCTTTGGATAACATTAGGATTGTCCCCAATAGATAAAGAAATTGATTAGCTTAAATACACCACTCTGGTCACGAGGTCTTTGCTTTCCTGCTTTGGCCCTGGAAACAGATACATGCTCGCTTATGCTGCTTCCTCTAGACCTAAGGGGCTTCTTTCTAGAATTCTGCAATTAGGAAAAGTATATTTCTCTGCACCTGGAGGCCTCTATCAAAAAAAAAAAATCACATTTTGAAAGCATTACTAGTGTCTTCAGCCAGTACTGTTTAAAAATGTTGACCTACAGTTGCTAAGGCTTTTTGAATTAGTGGAAGTTTCCATCATTGATAGCACCTATGTTCCTGTTCCTCCCCTCACAAAGGCACTGAGGAGTGATACATAATGGAAAATGAGCACAGATCTTGGCAGTGTTTTGCACATCTGATCTTTAACTAAAGTGTATTAGAAATCATACTTTATATATTTTTTTCAACTGGGCTTGAAGTATTTTTTCCTTTTAAAGGATCTTCACACAAAGTCAGTATAATCACTTTATAAAACTTTTCCAGTGGATTACTGTCTAGGGTTTAGGAAACCCTACATATATACTTTTGTCCTTGGGATTTAGTCACAGTACTAAATTATTAATGTTACATGGCACTCAAAGTCTAATTTGCTCAGAAATGTTTAGCAATGAAAGTATATAACCTTTTCTCCCCAATGAGTTTCCACCGAAAAGAAAGCTTTAGAAAAACTTGCCATCTGTACATGTAAGTATACATGTATTTTAACTGTTTCTTGCACTTCATTCTTGTGCACATTGTACCCTACTTTGAAAACACTACTCCCCTGATCCGAGTCTGCAGTTTAGTGCCAGGATGTTTACATGAAAACCTGAAAACAAACAACTGGACAAGCAAAGGCCAGTGGAGAAGAAATGCACCGACTCACAGTGGTCATGGGAGTGCTTTAGATGTCTTCAGGCCCTGTGTGGGGCAGCATTGATGCTTCCCTCTGGATTTATGGTGAACTGTTTCAGAGGCAGGTCACCAAGATGGCAGCTACGTTGTTCCTGACTCGCCACCCCTCAAGCGCAGCTAGCAGCTCTTCCAGGACAAGACCCTGCAGGCAGTCTAGAGCCTGGGGGTGTGGCAGAAGCAACGCTTGCACCCAGAAAAGCAAGAAGCTGCTGTGCTGACCACGTCACCCTCTTCCCAGGTTGGTACATTATGCCGAGAGGGCCCCCCAGTGGGGCAGGGAGCCAGCCCCCAGCATTGTGGGAACCACGTCATGGGAGTCAGCACTCAGGCACTAGGATCTTGGCAGTTAGCATTCCTACTTCCAGAGCCCACAGCAGCCCCGGCCAGCAGCTTGGTTCCTCTGGAAAACCAAATTGGGGGCACAGTCTGATCAGGATACTCAGTGACATTTAGGTCTTTGCACTTTGGGTCCCTAAATGAAAAGTTCTGCAGGCTCTGGAGCCTGGTGTGGTATAATCTAGACAAGAGCTTAGTTGTAAGCCTTAGTTCTGGCAAGAAGGCTAACTAACATCTGGAAGCTTCTATGTAATGCAGGCTGGGCTGATCGCTTTGGGGCAGGGACCACTTTGAGTCAAGACCCGAAGAGCCTTTGTGGCCCCTGAGGGAAAGAAATTCCTCTGTCCGCTCAGTGCTAATACAGCATTCAGCTCACCTGAACAGTTAGCGAGAGCATGAAGTATAACCCCTAAGCAAGGCTTATAGTGTTTTAGCTCTGCAGATAGGAAAAGCCAGCAGTTTCAACCAGATCAAGATACACAGTGCACACACTTGCCTGATTTTAGTCCACAAACTGACCTGCAGGCCTTATCTACTGTGGCAAGAAAGTTAATTCAGAGCTCTCCCACTGCTAAGTACAGTACCTAGTCCCAACCACCTAGGAGGCCTATCAGTGAAGCCCATCCTACAGGCTCACCTGAGCAGGGAGTCAAACCAGCTATTCCTTCCAGCTGTTCTCAGCCAGCAGGAGACCCCTTCCACTTTAGAGCTTGAACAACTGCTTCTCCTAATAGACCCTACAAGCAGGCCTTATCTTCTCAAGGATGTTAGCAGCGGCAATGTCCAGAAAGTTGAGTTCATGAGGTTTGACTCAACTGAGTTTTTCTCTGTTGTCTGGCAGAGGATACCACCTCATCAAACGTGCAGGTACAATGTGAGGAGTCAAAGGTCACAAAATATCAAGTGAATACAAAACCAGCAAAGGAAACGAGTAAATCTCTAGTAACTGATCCTACCTTTCCATTTCTTTAGGAACTATTAGAAAAGAATTCAAAGTAATCTTAAAATGAATTACATGGGCAACTAAATGAAATGAGCATGATTTCAAGGAAACCCCAAGCAGACATCCTAGGACCGAGACTTTCATCGGCAGCTTTGAGAGCAGAATTTCTTCTGGAGAAGAATCAGTGAGGTGTGATCCTCCAGTTACACGAACACAAGTGGGAAGCCAGCCTCTGGAACTTCAGAGGGATAGGAAGTATCCTTTGGGTGACAATGGCTGAAAGCATCTCACACCTCAAGAGACAGCCAGCCGGGAAGCCCAAGAGAGTAAACCCAAAAAGACAGCGAAACACACATTAAATTGTCGAAAGCATGTATGTGGGAACCCCAACCCAGCTACCATTTGATTGCTCAAGAAAACCTTTCAGGACAGAAGAGAATGGGCTGCCATATTTCCAACAGAAGCTGTCCTGTAGAACTAAGGATGCAGACTTTCCCTGAAAAAGCAGAAGCTGCGGGATTTCATCACAATTAGGTCTGCCTTGCAAAAAATAGGCTGAAGGGAGTTCTTTGAGTAGACATCAAAGGATGCTAATTAAATACATGGCCGAAGTTGGCTTCTGCAATATGGCAATGATAGATTTTTCTGTGAATTGTGCACTGTGAATTTAAAATTACCGTAACTACAATGATCTGTTATAAAAATTATGTCAAATTGTAACAGCAATTGAGGGGGGAGAAAGTACAGAACTAGAATTGAAAAGCTGTTGAGTTGTTGGAAAAGTCATGATACATTTTTGCTTGAAAAGGAGAAAAAGATAGGACTTTTCTGACAACCCCATAGGTTTTTCTATGAAAGTCACCAGTTTCAAAGAGTTTATGCTAACAAAAATTGAAAAAAACATGCAATAATTATGAAGACGTCAAAGCATACTGATACAGCAATAAGAAACAGCCTGCACGAGGCAGAGAGCTAGTGGCAAGAGTGGTTCTCACTTTAAATGGACACATCATAAGCGAATCAAAAGAGCCCTGCAGCCATTCCAAGGTTCTTTAAAAATGGGAGCCAAGAACGGATTTCACGGTGGAGGAGCAGGAAGATCCTGTGTTCCCTCCTCCCCACAACACAAGACGCCTGCAGTGACGTAGGAACGCCTGTCTCCGAGTGACAATGAGCATAGTGAAAAGTGATGGAAATCACGGGAACACTGGAACTGCTAAGACAGTCCTACCAGGCAAGCCCCTGAGCACTGTGAGCCAAGCGTGGGATGTGGAACAAAGGTGACCAAGCTGCTTCCTGGCAACTAAAGGGTTTACTTCCCACATCGGATCCTCCAGCGCCACCGGCATCCAGGTATAGAAAAGAGGAACTTTGCTCAAAGACCTCACTGAGGAATTTTCAATTTCACAAATATAAACCCCGTAGGAGGAGCTGGAAGGAGGCTCGGCCTCCCCAGGAATGGAGCTTCAGCTCGAAGCCACCGCCAGGCCCTGTGGTACCTGCACAGGCTGATGCCACACTGGTTGAGATCAACAGAGCCAGGAATGGAGGGCAAAACACCTCATCCTTTTTCCCACAGTGCTCCCGTAGCTTTTCAGACAGTTGTCCTGGGGCCCGCTCACCACCTTCTGGATGCTGACAGCTGAAGCTCATGCCTGTGGAGAACTAGTTTCCTCCAGGAGCCGCAGCTCCCACAGTCCCTATGTAACGCCCACCGCTCCAAGCTTGTGCTTCCTCCATTTCTAAGCATCCTGTGCTGCTACCGGTCCACCCATAGTACCTGCGGACAGCCTAAGCCTCAGTGGCTCTATTCCTGCCCCCATTCCTAGGGGGAGAAACCTTGCTGAGACCCACGCAGGGTGAGCTCTGCCTGTGGTGCAGATCCGTCCCCTCAGCTAATGCAGCTGTACCCCACAGGGAGGCCATGTGTTGGGGCACTCCTCAGCAGCAGCAACCTTGCTTCCCACAGCCCCCCAATCCCACCCTCAAGGCTCAGCCATTGCCATGACTGCAAGCTGCTCGACCACAGGAAGCCCACCCCCCTGGCCACACGACCTGCAATTTGCAGCTCTAACACAGGCAGCCTGTCAAGACTGGGAAAGA